AAGTTCTTTCACCGTCATGTCACCCCCTTGGGTCAGAAGAGTGTATTCTCTCACCTTAGCGTTTACCTCAAAGTCAGAGTAGTACTGGGCAAAGAATTCTTGCCGAAAATCCTCCCAAGTAACAGTCCCGCCATACTTGCCCTTGGTTCCATCCCACCACTTGGATGCCAACCCTTCAAGTAACCTCACCGCGATTCTCAGTTTGAAATCGGGGGTGAATTGCATGTCAAGGGCTGCCTCGTTCAGTCTCTTGATCCACTGTGCGGCAACCGAGATGTCTCCCGTCCCATCGAACGGTTTGCACCCCAAGTCCCTCGCCTCTTTAATGTATTTGGAGATCCTTATGGTTGGACCTCCATCACCTCGACTTCCATGCGCTTCCACATGGGTTCTTGAATCACAAAAGCTCCTTCCCCTTGGAGCCCCGCCCGAAGGTTGCCCCGCACGGCGCCTTCGGCGTTCTCTCCTTTCCTCACGCTCCCGATGGTATTGTTGGAGCAGCGCTTCAATCCTAGCCAAGGAGACACTTTCCTCCTCGTCACTCACATCATCATCATGCCCTTCATAAGGGGTCTCAACCGGCTCAGTTTTCGGCCGGTAGGTCGAGTCCTCATAAGACCAATAGGTCTCACTTTCCGTGTCGATGTGGCCATCGCTCACGGTTTGTTGTTGGCCTCCACGACCCCTTCCTCTTGATCTCCTAGAGGACCCCCGACTACCGCGCTCGGACCCACCCGGCGCACGGCCCGTCGGGTTCCTCCTAGTGATCCTTCCAACTGGCTCCATTTCTGAAAGGAATTAGAATGAGTCATTAGACTCGTATCAATGTCAAATGACGGATAGGTACTTAAAGACATCTTTTGGCTCAAATCACCGCCATACCAATTGTTAAGGGTACCATCTTAACAATTAGAGACTTTGCAACTCAAGTTCCAAAAGTTCTATAAGTACAAAACTTTTATGTTCATGGTTTTTCAAATTCGTTTTCGAAAAGAGATTTTGAAGCTTCATTATGAAGTTTACGGACTAAGGCTCTGATACCATTTAAATTGTCACGCCCCGGACCTACCCGGACACGTCAACAATCCGCCGTACAGTATGAATGGTCAACCACAGTCCAACACACCCATACTATACAAGGCGTCTGGAATATCATTCACACATAGTGCATCCATAAACAAAAATAATGTAAAAATATTCAGTAAAGCAGCGGAAACATTTGATACAAGTATTCATGCCACACTTTGGCAAACATGGGCATACAAGCCCCCAAATAATTATTCAAAAAATATAATATCCATGCGCACTAACATAATTGTTTTTTTAAAACAGAAATGGAGGAAGCACGAACCACGTCTTCTCTCCTTGATCTTCCCGAAGCAAGAGGGCGATAGTAGCAACCTTCAAGTTCTACCTGAAACTGTGAGGTGGCCTCCCCCGTGAAGCGGAGGTAAGTACTTGGAAGAATTTGACAAGTACAATGACAACTATACTAAGTATAATCAAAGTTTCAATTTCCAAGACTCTCAAACTAGGGTGTTATCATATCATAGTTAACTTTGTTCGTTTAGTGTCAATTCATCGTTATTTACCACGGTCTAGAGCCCAGCTCATAATCACCGTTACCTACTACGGTCTAGAGCCCAGCTCAATAATCACCATCATCTACATCGGTCTAGAGCCCAGCTCAATAATCACCGATAACTACTACTGTCTAGAGCCCAGCTCAATAATCACCGTTATCTACATCGGTCTAGAGCCCAGCTCAATAATCACCGATAACTACTACGGTCTAGAGCCCAGCTCAATAATCACCGTTATCTACATCGGTCTAGAGCCCAGCTCAATAATCACCGATTCTTTACAATTCAATATCTTAGGATCCATTCATCCATTATTCGACTACAATTCCAACTAATATTTAAATACTAGTTATTTACTCATTTCAATATAATTCTTCATTCATGTATAAATTGGCCTTAATATCAAAATATCACTTTTATACTTCCATGGCTTCTACTCATGAAATAAAAGCATACTTAACACAATTGGGATTCATGGTTGATACAACTATCATGCCATCATATTCACAACATATAAACATACACAATTTATTCATAAATTTGTATATTATGCAAACTTTACTTATAACCAATAGTAATTTCATTTAGGCATTATTAACCATTAATAATCCATGCAAATCACATTTTGTATTCATTTAGGGAATCTCATGAAATTAACCCAAAGACTATAAGCAATATAGTCGGTCATCCTCACCTTAAGTGAGCTTAAGCGCGTTCTACGCCCCCCGGTTGAACTTTGACTAATTCCGGCGAACTTTGACCAACTCCGGCGAAACTCCGGCGAAGCTCAAAAGTACTTTAATCAAGTTCCTAACAAGGGTTTAACATCATAAAACCTTAATCAATACAAATAACCTCTAAAAGGTTATTTTCCGGTGAACTTGTTGGTTTGGCTCCTAAGTCCGTTTTTGGACTTAGAACCACCTTCCAACCCACCATTCCACACTCAAAACATGTGGAACATTCCCAAGGGTTCTTCATGTGATATATAACTCATATGGTAATTAAGGAATAGAGGAAAAGTTATTATAAGGTCATTACCTTAATCCACCTAGTTTTTCCTCCTAAAAACCTTTCCCTTGGACCTCCTTGAGCTTGAGCTTGTTCTTGGCTATGGAAGATGCTACTTTTCTGGGATTTTCTTCTTCTCTTGAGGGTGTGGTCGAGTGATGAAAAGAGAAGGGGGTGAGTATCCTCTTTTGTCTCAATAGAATGAGTGGGTGGGGAGAGACCCGCCCTTTATTTTGTTTGATTCTTTTCCATTCACATCACACACCTCACTCATGCTCCTTCATCATTCCAGCCGGCCAAACATCACATTTGGGTGACCAAAATCGTGGGTTGGCCCCCACTCATGTGGGAGGTCAACTCTTTTTGTCCAGAAGTGTACAATCGGTCCCGAAAGTTGTATTTTTCGGACTATTTTAAATATATTTTATTTTATCGGGTCAAATAAAATATATTATGCGTTCTCAATCATTATGACCCTTATAATGAATATACCTTCCCCAAATTTAATTTACAAGTCCCCGAAATTCAATTTCGGGCTTTTATCGGTTAAATTACCAATACCGATATTTGGGCTTCTTTTGACCAATCGGTCAACTCTGGACCTTTCCATGGTTCAGATGAAGCACCCACCACTATATAAATATTATCTTGACCAAGATAAATAAAATATATGGTTTCATGAATTTCGGGAGGGCCCCCGCTCCTGGTGTGGGTCCCACGTGTGAATTTACTATTCACGCAAAAGAATTAATAAAAAATCACAACTTCGCATACTCATTAACCATTCCACAAGGTTCAATACATTATTCGCTTAAAAGTAAATACATTTGGGGACGGTGTTACAGGTTACTTGGTGTTTGAGGGTGGCATGGTTTCACGGGGCATTTACACTGTCAAGATAGGTTATAGATTACTGCAAGGGGAGTATCTTGTTAATGGCTGGGTGGGTTGGACCAATATGTGGAATTTCACTATTCAACCAAAAATTAAACATTTCTTTTGGCAGGTGATGACGGGAGTCCTACCAATTGTTGATGCATTACGAAGAAAGCGTGTAGTGGTGTCAGCTATTTGTAAATCATGCTATGCTGGGGAGGAATCATTGTTTCATGTTTTCAGAAATTGCAGGTTCTAGGGTGAGGTTCTAAATAAGTTGGACAACCGATTTCAACAACAAGGGTACACCATTCTGGAGTGGATGAAGTGGAATCCTGGCAGCCTTTGAGAGGAGGAACTTTGTATGTTGATAGTTACGATGTGGAACATTTGAAAAACAAGAAATGAGCTGACACGGAATAATGATTACACAAGTGCTTAACAAGTTATTTTAATGAGAGTTGTTATGTTGCGCGGTTGGAGGGCTGCTCAAACCCAGATGAAACCACACCACAAGGTTGCTGATATACTCGCTCAATGGCAATGCCATTGCCCAAGTTTTCTCAAAATTAATGTGGATGGTGCCTTGGATTCCAGACGGGTAAAGAGGTTGTGTGGGTGGATAGTTAAAGATGACTCGGGGAATTTTATGTGTGGAGGTAGAATTACTTGTAAGGTGGACTGGCCAGCTCATATAAGAGAGGCAGTAGGTGTTCGGGAGATGTTCAAATGCGTAAAAACGCGGGGCTGGGTCAATGTCGAAGAGGAAACAAATGCTTCTCTTATCATCTCAAAACTTGAAGACAGTTCAGGAGAATCCTATTTTGACCTTATTATTGATGATATTAGACATATGCTTCATGTCGAAGCTAGCATGTCAGTAGTTCTTTGCAAACGATCCACGGATCGTACAGTTCATACTCTTGCGAGAGCTATCCTTTCTAAGGCGGGTGGTAGTCTAGCATGATACAACACCCTCTTGTATTGTGAGTATCCCGATTCCTAGCAAACAATTTCCTATCTTAATTGAATTGCAGTTTATTCTTAAAAAAACAAGACATTTGCAATATGCACAAAATTTTACACCAAAGTACACATTAAGGAGTATCCCCTATATTCCTTAGTTTGAATATTTACTCCATGTAGCATTTTTTATCCCCAAATTTTTGGGTATAAGAGCTTGAATTTTAATACGGAGTATATTCTTGGGCATTTTGAAATATACGGAGTATACTTTTAGAGATTGTTTGTGACTATATTTTTTGGCTTATCAGACTTATCCGTCAATCTTTTCATCAAATACGTAACTTTTAATTTTGTGTAGTAAAAAAAAATAACGTTGAAGTTATTTTTGTGACTGTATTGATTGAACCTATTCTAGATGATCATTTCAGTTGTTTTTTCATATAATGTTTTCCCTATTTAATTAATACGGAGTAAAATATATTTAAACTACAATTTCTTTTTCACAAATACGGAGTACGTGTTAGAATCGCCAAACTGAGCTGCTCCGGCCAATATATTACCAAACCGGCTCTTACATTATTTCTGTGGGTAACTCTATCTGATTTTTGAACGCTGACCAAAATCAATCTCTCGTCTCGTCATCTTGGAGTCAAAACAGCAAAGATTCACAACCAATTTAACTCCTCCGGCCAGTCACCGCTGCGGCCACCGTCCCCCGCCTCCGTCAGCCTGTCCACTGCCCATGTAAAACTACAACTGCTGTCTTACGTCTCCCAGACGGCCAGACGCCATCTTCAATGGACTCACAAAAGCTCCCCAATTCCCAACCGATGCGAGTCCTCATTCGACCCCCAACCCCAGCCCCTGCACATGGCTCTAACCCTCCTATACCCACCTCGCTTCCACATCGGCCAAACGGAGTTGCAGTTGTGGGATTCATCGGGAAACGTCAGGCCGATGTCACGGGCTTAATCAACAGAATTATCGACTCCAATGTCTTCGGTTCGGGGGGTCTAGACAGGCCGTTTCGCATCGACAGATTGGAAATTGGCGAAGAAGTTCAGAGCTGGTTCAGGTCAAGGGATATCAGCTATTACCATGATGACGAAAAGGGGATTTTGTACTTACAGTTCTCGTCGACCAGATGTCCTGTGATGGAGGTGGATATGGAATCTCGTATGGGTTTCGATTCCATATTCGAGGATTATGAGTTCGGAGATCTTCAGGCTATGCTTTTTATCTTCTCTGTCAGTTTTCCTTGATCACATTTGCACTTCTATTTAGCTTATCCGTTAACAAATATAATCATATATGATTCTATTGTGAAATATAATGAAAATGATTAAAGTCCTAAATCTTAATGAATTAACAGGAGAAACCTAGACGTCTCTGTGAACTAAGTCACAGGAGAAAAGGAGATTTAACTCATTTAAGACATCTTGAAGCTGAAAATATCTTGTTGCCATAAACAAGTTTTATCTAATAAACTTAACCTCAATGTGAACGCTTCATTCTGCAATCTCAACTTAACAAAATGAGATACCACTACACTTTCCTTTTCATTGGCTTTGGTGTCATTTATTAGCTGATCATGTATTGGTGGGAAAAATTATTCAGAATAAACTGCCATTCTGGGAATGAAAAGAGGAAAGTATATAACCGGCTCATCCAGTTCTTGTTAATGTTCATTCATGATTATGGAGTAGGTAACCAACCTACCTCTTTGTTATATGGCAATGTAAGCGTGTCATTGATCTTTGCTTCGTTTCTCATTTCATCCGTCCCAAAATAAGTTTCCTTTTTTTGTCTGTTCCGTAAAAAGGTCCTTATTTCTTTTAAGAAAAGAACTGTGTGGCACATTATATTTCTCTCTTCTACATAAATCTCGACCACATAATTTTAGGCTTCTTACTATGCATGTCAAGTCAGACCAGGAACCTTTTTTAACAGATGGAGTATTTGTTTGTGTGTATATAGAATAGATAATATCTATTAAGGTTATGATGTTTCACTTGAATTAAGTTATAAATGTATACACCTTTCAAAGGGTTATATATATAAAAGTCTATTTCGGTTATTATGGACATATTCATATCTCAAAGGCCTGGGGTTTCTTTTCTTACTTAACCTCGTTTAGGAAGATAAGTTTATGGGATCAAACAAGGACCTGTACGCTCCTCCGGCCTTTGGAATCTTTTGCCTTTGGTTTTAGATTAGCGACTGATACTTCATGTCTTCATTTATTGCATCTCATTTTCTTCTTCTTTCTATGTTAAATGATTCAATCTGTATTAGTTTTGCAGGTTTGCCATGTAGTAATTTTTATTCAAGAAGGATCACATTTTGACACCCAAACACTTAAGAAATTCCGCACTCTGCAAGCTGCCAAAAATGCAATTAGTCCATATGTTAAATCACTAACTATGCCACCATCATCATCTGGCTCCCGTTTCTCATCTCCGTCACGGATTCCTAGATCAGAAACACTGTGTAACAATTACTCCCATCTTGATAGCCGAGGTGCTTTGAGTCGCAATACTTTGGCCACAACATCAATGCCAGGATTAGGTTCATATGCGTCTTTATTACCAGGGCAATGTACTCCAGTTACACTTTTTGTTTACCTTGATGAATTCTTAGATAATATTCCTGGTTCTAGTGTTGAGAAGCCAATGGAGGTTCCATCTCTTGACCAATCACCAAACATGAGTAGTTCACTCAGGCCAAACTTTCCTACAAAAGGACCTGGTTCAGTAGTTGTGCTTGCGCGCCCTGTTAATGAATCTGAAGGTGGCTCAGGAAAGAAATTGCAATCATCCCTTGAGGCACAAATCCGGTTCTCAATAAAAAAAAGTCGGATACTCTCAGGATCCGATAACAGTTATAGAGGAAGGAATGCTGCTTTGTCTAACTCAGTTCCTTTGTTCTCCCTCGATGCTTCAAAAGCGGTTGTGCTTGTTGATATATCTTCAATTCAGAAAGGTGAAGCACTTGAGTATGCTTCCTGCATTGTTGAAGATATTCTATGTGGAAAGGCGTCTTCAGATGCTCTTTTGGTTGAATGCCACAATCGTAGTGTGACTAAAGAAGACATTCTGTCTGTTAAGGAGTTCATCTGCAGACAGTTGGGTATATTAAGAGGAAGGGGGAGCATTGTTTCTAATACCAATAGTAGTTCAGCTACCGGCATAGGCATGGTTGCTGCAGCTGCCGCTGCCGCCGCCGCCTCTGCTTCTGCTGCTTCTGGAAGAATTTTCACCACTCCAGAACTTCCATGTCTGGACATCTGGTTTTCTTCTAGTCAACTTATTTTGCATGCAATCCTCTCCTCTCAGCATGAATGTATAGATAAAAAGGAAATCATTAAGGTGAAACCCCGTCAGCAGAATTCTGTTTCACCACCAATTAAAGGCATTGCATCAAAAGTGATTGATCCTCTTGAAACTGCAGTTTATTATTTATCAAGTGGTAGAGGACTGAACACCAGATTTTCTACTTTATGGTGCCAAAAGGCCCTTTCGGCAGCCATGGAGGTGTATTTGAACAGTCTGCCTACATGCTACTCGACTTCTCAACATGTTGCCCATTTGGAGAGTGCTCTTTCTGCTTTTCGGTCAATGGTCAAAGGACCCGCTGTACATCTGTACACACAAAAATTAGAAGACCAATGCACATCCATATGGAGTTCTGGAAGACAGCTATGTGATGCGGTCAGTCTTACAGGAAAACCATGTATGCATCCTAGACACAATGATGAAACTGACACTCAACATTCTAGTGGATTTGTTTTCCTTCACGCCTGTGCGTGTGGCCGTTCAAGACGGCTGAGATCAGATCCCTTTGATTTTGAAACAGCTAATGTCACTTTTAATTGCTCTATGGATTGTGATAAGCTACTACCCATGCTCCAGCCTCCTCGTGGAAGTGTTATTGGACCTGTTCAGCATTCTTCTTGGAATTTAGTTCGAGTTGGGAACGCTAGGTATTATCAACCATCTAAAGGTTTAATCCAGAGTGGATTTAGTGCCACTCATAAGTTTCTCTCTAAGTGGTCTGTCCTGCTTGAGAAACCAAAAATGTTAAATGCTTCACTTCAAAAGAATTTTCCAGTAGTCTCTTCCCACCCATTTCATAGTAAATCCAAGAATGGTTTTAATGCAGACACAATGGCTGACCAGATTGATGCTACAAGGTTGCATGATAATGAAATGCAAGGAGAAGTGAGGATACAGAGAAAGTCTTCTCTATGTGATATTAAAGGTGAAGATATGACTAACTACATTGGTAAAAAACATTCCAACTTTACTATGAGGAAACCTTTCTCTGAGGTGGTTGCTGGATCTTCGAGTTCAGGTTCAGCATTTCCTCCTCTTCAGTCAAAAATGCATCCTCAGCAGTCTTATGTGGGTATTAAACAACAAAGTGCTAAAGACAGAAACAGAGAAAAGGTTAATGAATTCAGTGCTGGTCAAGAATCTGAAAAAGTAAGAGTTACTCTTGCCATTGATAAATCTGTGATTGATAATGTTGCTCTTTCTAACGGATCAGGTAAAGCCAATCCGTTTTCGGAAAGTGATACATTTCCAATGCATATCAACAGCGCTTCAGAAGTTAAAACAGTTACCTCTTTGAAACATGCAAACGTCTTCTTTGGATTTGAACACGAATGTCCTCACGGACACCGGTTTATATTATCTTCAGAGCATCTGAATGAACTTGGCGTTCCGTATTTGGTCACTGAAGAATCCCCTGCTACATTTGACCGTGAAGAAAACCATAAAATGACAGAACCTCCCAGAGTGGGTAAGAGTGGAGGTCATGGTAAAAGCCTCCGTCAATTGAATGGAATAATTTCTTCTCCATCTAGTCGGGTTAGGAACTTGGAGAAGTCAAAAGAGAGAACATATAATGGCTATGGTTATGTGGATGGACCGATGCATTCTTCCAAGCCTCCTAAAGAACAAACTAGTACCATAAAAGGTTCTGCACTTGGAAAAGATCTTGATCCTGGCCTTCAACCTCACAGTCTTTCTGGTGCTTCCTCCACTTTATCCTTGCTGGATAGAAACTTGCCACTATACATGAACTGTCCGCACTGCGTGGAGTTCAAAAATAAGAATGACGAGACAGAGACTAAATTTGCAGGCAGTGTTTCACAGCTTCAGAGGATTTTTGTGGTAGGATTCTTGATGTTTTAATTAATTTGTCAGTTGTTTCATGGTTCTAATCCAGTTTAATACAAGTTATCAGAAATGATTTCATCTTTATATTTTTGTGTTTTCTTTTAAATTAAGCATTCAATTTTGTACTCGCACTTGCTGCTCAGGAGCAAACATTTTTGTGTTTTAAATCATTTGTGCTAAATTATGCTTGACAAGGAATGTGGCTGTGGAAATTGATATATTAAATTTTATCGATGTCATTGCTTTGCTGGTAAGACGGAACAAACTAAGTGGGATATGGTTGACCTTAGAAATGATTGCCTCTGAAAATCCTTTTTCGTATGCATATCTCTATTACACCTTAAAGTCTTACTTCTGGTGCCTTCTCCTTTTCTCCAAAACTCCTTTAGTGGCAAATTTTTGCAGTTATGGTTTTTGATAAATATGTTACGGAGTATGAGTTTTGCAATATATCTGCATCTGGCGCACATTACATGTTTTTCATATATGAGAGTTTGAGTCTCACACACTCATGTCTTCCTTATTCCTATCCCATTTTCTCGCTTGTTTATACTGCGACATCAGTTGTAGACATGTTTTCTTTATTTTTGGATTTTTATTTATAGAACTACTTGTTATTTTTATTAGGCAACTCTGCTAAGTATGCATTTTTATTTGCAGGTTACACCTCCTTTTCCTGTTGTCCTAGTAGCATGCCCAGTTATACAGTTTGAGGTAACTTTTAATACAACTGCTAGGCTTTAAGATTTCTCATTATCCTCCTCCATCCCACCATTTTTTTGAATAGTTATAATAAATAAATAAAACTCTCATCTATCACTACAAAGTAGACAGACTGATCAATAATAGTGGAACATGGACCGAATGAAGAAAAGAACCACAAGGAATAAGCTCGCCCAACACTGGCCCATGTGTATGAGATTATGATCCAATAACCCACTAAGTGCACCAGCGGTCCTCTATTAGGATATGATTAATGATAAGGCAGGCTTTGTAACTAATACAAAGATGAAAAAGCAGGGAACTAAGTAGTTGTTACATGAATAGAAAATATTGGGGCATTGGGCGTGTTTGAATCAACATCTTACTCACTTTTGAATAAGAAACATTCTTGACAAACAATGATACATTCATGTCCTTGTCTTTTCAAAGAATGAATTCACACTCATTCAGTCCAACTTAAATGGTGGTAGTTATTAGTGAATGCATCAAAGAGAATTAAAAGAAACATTGCAAAACTAAAAGACAACTGAATCCACATCTGCCCTTCAATGGCCACAATGCCACATTTCACTTGGTGCTGCTCTTGTCGCATCATTGGCTGGACAACTTCCTGTGGTTGGCAAGTTGGCACACTCTCTCTCTCTTTCTGTATGTCTCAATGGTTTGATGACTTGATCCTAACATGGCACAATTGTCTTTAATTGTGGGTTTATTTTCCGAACTCGATTCTCATATATATATATTCCTCAGTTCTCATTCAATCTTGTATCTTTTTTCTTTGAGTACTCAGAAAAGTACTTCAATGGTTGTCAGAGACTCCTTGATGTTGTGTTGGGCATTTAACTGTTCCTAATATTTTATAATACGTAGTATCTCTTTACTGGGTGTGATTGGTACTTAGTTTTACTCATGCATTTTACTTGGGAGTTGTTTCACCTGTATGTACTGCTTTTTCCCCTTTTACTAAAACGTTATTTCATCAACGTACTAGGTATCTTGCCTTCCCCCATCTATCCCAGACCGCGAAACAAAATTGCAGTTTAGCCTTAGCTGTCCAGTGGTTTTGGCCCCAGATAGTTTCCTATCGCTTAGACTTCCATTTGTTTATGGTGTACAATTGGAGGATGGAACTTTGCATCCTCTAAAGCCTTTTGAACACCAACCTCAACTTACTGCCTGGATTACCAGTAGCACTACACTGAAGTTTGTCTCCAATGATAGCAATTGCGAGGAAGGATTTCAGACATAATTAATGGACTTTGAGCATGTGTGATGATGATGCATTCCAACTACGGATTTGAAGATTATTGTATAAAGCCTCTACTGCTGGTAAACATTTGGTGAAGTTCATGCTCACTGTGATGTCTTCAGCATGATATATCATATTGGTGGAAATTTGTTAATAAGTTAGTTTTCTGATTCGAGATATTGCATTATTATGGAAATTGATATGGTTTACTTTCCTATTCCTTAATTTGCTTTCCCTGAATGCTCTCATAATCCCATAGTCATTGATACCACCAAACAACTTTTTAAAGCTTTTACTATGCCATGTTTTTGAAAGGTGTGTCTTATGGTCAGATAATTCTTAGCTATACACTTTTTGTTGTCATTTCGGTACTTGTAGAAACTTGACATTATTTCCTTTTATTTGTTTGATAATCCAGTGAAGTCAGATTTATTGGCTAAGAGTTTGATGATTACAAAAGTGATGAGTTCTGCAGTAGATGGAAGCTGCATTTTCTACTCTAACCACTTTGCCGGGTACCTCCTTCACTTTGTATCTCTTTTTCATGACTAAAGAAGGCAAAAAGGTGGAACTTTACCCGCTTTACTAAGTAGAGTGGCAAACATTTGCTGTTCTCAGGTTCTACACGACCTAGTTGGAAGTCAACAGAATCGACGATGGCCAATTTGCCACACTTCAGAAGGCTTTTCAATGACCAGGTAGACAGACCCCTCACCCCCATGTAAGTTTTCAATAATTTTATTTGTTATCAGCTGCAGATTCAGCCAGTGCACTTTAGTAACTTGGTGCTTAATGAAAAATATGGGTTATAAGGCTAATAAGCAGAAAGTAAAGTTATCAAATGGGCATGCAAAATTGCAAATTGTTTGCAGTTAAAAGTCAAGCATGAATGTGGCATTTCCAGAGTTCGACATTCGATTGGGGTGATGCTAGCATTCGCTTCAATTGAGCTGATGTCTTGTTCCAGCTGTTAGTGGACTGTGTTGCTTGATAAGAAGACTCACTCATTTTCAGCGGATGGGTGGGCCCCAGAAGTGCTGCCTCTAGCAAAGAGTCGCTAGAAGTGTGCTCATCAAGGCAAGATGGTAGCAGCAATTCTCCAGGGTGGAATCACTAAAAGTGTGTTCTTCAAGTCAAGATCGGAACAAACAACTAATCATAATCATAAACTTCTACATTGTGGTTCTTCTTGTGAACCAGTCCATTTCTTCCAAATCAGTGTTCCTAGTCGGATAAGGTCCACCTATTAAAATATTATCACCTTTTCACTTGTTATCAATATATACCACTTACTCTTCTTAAACATTTTATCCAATGAAATTGGAACAGGAGGGAGTAGATTGTTTTCAGGAGATCCCTCCAACTCTTGAAATTGGCTTATCCAATTCCCTTTCGTTGTTAGCCATGTCCGCACCTCACAAGCTATTTCGGCATGGTCTAAGAATTTTCCAAAACGATGAGTCGACGATTGTCATTTTCCTGTGTGAACTTGCCCATTTGGGTATGAAAATTGAAATTGTGAATTCTAACAAAAATGGAGTAAAAAAACATGTTAGTTTACAAAATACTCCAAATGTTTAGTGAATCTGTATAGTAGATTCAGATTTATCGAATATCGTGTGCATAGTACATCGGATGAGCATTACTACTTCCTACAAGTCTACAACACGAGGCTTCTTCATATGTGAATGCTGTGTAGAGTGAAAACTAGCCGATCAAAAAAAACACGAGCCCATGAGCATTATTCAAATGCAAAATGAGCAATCATTAAAAAAAATTGGAAATACCTTGTGCACAAAATGTGTGTAGACGAAACATGGCTGTAAGAAACATCACCCACCACCAATACCAAATGACTTAAAAAACACAAAAGTTGTGAAGCCAGACATGAAATCTGTCACGACTCCAGACTCCTAGAGTCCTAGCTTCATCATCATTTTCATTATTTTCATTTACCCCAGTGCCGCAAAGGGACTAAGTACAGAGAGACTGTTTCCGCATGACCCATAGTGAAAATCGCGTCCAAAATTGCATGGACTGATTGGCGCTTCATAACAAAGAAGTGCAGACAGTTTAATGAGCCATTTTGCTTTATTCCATCATATTTTCAAGTTAAAAAATAATGAATTTTTGGCTCCTAGAGTCCTAGCTTCTTGGTTAAAAATAATGGTGCCGAATCCTTTTTTTACTCCATAAAGATTTGTTTTCACCCCTGCCTTCGTGAGAGGACTATGATGGCGTCGGAGTGGAGCTTTTGAATTCAAATACGTGGAATTACTCCTAAATGTAACTATCGAATTATAATCTTTTATTCTCAAAATAGGAATAATATAATACGGAGTAATGGAGATAAGGGTCAGTTTGGTCCTCAAAGTTGCAAAAAAGGGGTCAAATAGGTCCTTATATAGAAAATTCTGTCTGGACGTTCCATTTGAGGTGGCTCCCGGTGGAATTTTTTGATGAAATTTTTTAAGCATCTTATTCATTAAGTCTAGTTTACTCATACCAAATTTCAAATAAAAATTCAATCGGGAAGACATTCAAATGAATTCTTGAAGATAACTGTGCCGTTAAAAGCGCAGTTATCTTCAAGAATTCATTTGAATGTCTCCCCGATTGAATTGTTAGCTGAAATTTGATATGAGTAAACTAGACTTAATGAATAAGATACTCAAAAAATTTCATCAAAAAATTCTATAGGGAGCCACCTCAAATGACACGTCCGGATAGAATTTTCTATATAAGGACTTATTTGACCCCTTTTTTGCAACTTCGAGGATCAAACTGACCATTTACTCCGGAGTAATGTATGTTCCCTCTTCCTATTATATCCCTTTATATAATCTCCAATAAGACTTGTTTTATTATTACAGTCATAGTTTTATTTATACTACATTACTACGTAATAAAACATAAAATAAGATAGAAATAATACGGAGTATAAAAAACTTAAAACAATAAAAATAAAAAACCTAAAAAATACTAAAAAAACTGTAGACCTTTGACTTTGCATTTTCCACCTTCGATCGCCAAAAAAATGTAATATTATGTAAACGACGCCACATTTCTTTGAAAATGTCCGGAACACTCTTACAAAATATCAAAATTTGCTTTCAAAGTTGCTATCGCGATGACATTTTTTTCCAAGTTAGCATTTTTCTATATGACGGGCGGTGGTTGTGCTGGAAGGTGGCTGAGTCCCGGCCTTTATATTTTTATTTATTTATTTTACATTTTTAACTTTTTTCACCTTTTTTATGTTTAATTATAATAAAAAAAATCTATTAAAGTACGACAAGGGAAAATGTAAGATATGAAGAGTTACCCCTAGTTTAGGAATTGAAACTTCATAATCCTATTCACGCAATTTTGCTTTTACTTACTTCAACTACGTATTTAGGGAATTGCCCAATGTATGTTTTCATAAGTAACTTTTATAAATTTTATCAAAATTATCTACATTTTTTTGGTTCCTCTTAAAATTATTTATCATTTTTTAAAATAAAGCACTATATATTATTCCTCTCTTTTCTAGCTATACTTTCATCGCACAAGAAGTTCTCTTTATCCTTGTGTTTGGTTTAATGCGCCAAACACTATCGTAATATATAAATTATGCACATTAGCCTCTTTTGATTTAAAAAGGCATAAAATTCTTTGTATTATAATTAATCATGCTTATAACCGTTTCAAAAGATAAATTTAATTGTTAAATAAAAGAAAAATATTTAATTTCTAGTATAAATTAGATATTGTTAAATTTACTTGCACATTAATGTGCACAGTTTATATACCACAAGGGGTTTAGCACATTAAACCCCTCTTTTTTGAAAACAAATAACTTAATTATTATTGATGAAAATGACAAGAAACATTACAATCATAAAACTCAAGGCTACAATGAGATGAGACATAGAAACAGACAATTCAAATCAAAATCGCAGAATCGCTAATCCCGCAAAGAAGTAGACTCTACCTACAGATTGACTACCCCTGCTACGATCACAATAATTATCAAAAGAATTCTTAAATGTCCCGGTTTGTCCAGCCACCGGTAAGGAGCCAACTGTAGATTTGTTCCACTTTCACCAGCCACCGAAAAGAAAGCAATCCAAATAATCTCGTCATCCTAGAACGGCGGAGGTTCAGGAGGGGAGCGATCCGTTTCAATATCGGCACAGAAGAAAATCATGTTTCTGATTGATGAAGAGATCAGTGCAAATCCCTTCTTAGCACACAAGAACGCCCAACCGAAAGTGGCGAGGAATATGAATCTTAAATTAGGATCTAGCAGACCATATTTCGCTACCGAAAATAATATCTCCAATCATTGTTGGGAAAGAAACGGGTGAATAAAACTGAAAACACTGATTACGAAAATGTTTTTCCATTAAACCCCTCTATGATGCTCAATTGTGTGTATATTTAATTTATAGATTGAAGAAGTTCATTTGTCTTTTGTTGTAATTAAACAAAGCACACGATGCAGTAAAATATTTTATACATAGGTGGATAAAAATAATCGGGGGACATAATAGTTTGCAAACGTAGCAAATACGCAATATAATAAAATGCATGGCGATCGAATTACTAATATGCCTCTAACCTTATGTCATACGTAGTAATTATTAGTTCAACTTTACGTTTTAAAATATATGGAGGATTATTGTTATCTTACTTGAGTTTTGATTATTCTTGCTAGCTGTTCGCAGGGACGGATCCAGGATTTCTATTCAAGGGGGGCGAAATTTTTCGGTAGTGTAGGGGTGAAAAAAATTTCGTTAATGTAGTGGGGCGAAATTTTTTCCCCTAGTGTAGCGGGGCGAATTTTTTCCGCTACTGTAGGGCTATGCGGCTAATTTTATTCAAAAAATGACATTAATACATACACATCCCCAATGACATTTAAATCTATTAAGTTGTACATTCTAAGTTTAAATTAGACGATTGCAAAGACATCAACCAATACATTTTTAATAACTTCTACATTGTTTAACCTCATGAATCGGTTATTATTGATTAGTAATTTTTGTCCGGCCACCAAGGAGGGTGTTCATGAGTCATGCATGAGTTATGAGAAGTTTTCTTAATATTACAATAGTAGTATGTATGATATTATTATTTTTAGAATAGTATGCACCACATACACACACACACATATTGTGCATATTATATTTTAATATTTGTATTAATGCTATAATAATTTAAAGTTTATTATCTATGCAATAAATTATTTTTAGAAAGCAAGAAGTAAATGAATTATGTAATTTAATGTCAATAAACATTTATATTTTGGATTCATTTCACGTGATCTAAAAACTGTGTAATTAGTGTGTCTGATATTTAATATTGTTTGATATATATTTTACAAAATCAAGTACTCCGTACTTGTTATCTAATAAAAATAATTAAACATTACAAAACTAGGAATTCTTATATAATAAGTATCCTAAATCTTAAACAACGAGTTATTCTATTGATTATTTGTTTAAGTTATGTAATTATTTTAGATGTTCCTTCTTTTAAATCTTCAATTAAGTATTACATTATGTAACACTATATATTACTTTTGAAAATTAAAAGCTAAGGGGGGCGAATCTAATTAAATTATGAAAGTTTTATGAAAATATTACATATATGGTAGAAAATTTTGAAAGTCCAAGGGGGGCGGTCGCCCCCCGCGCCCCCCCTAAATCCATCCCTGGCTGTTCGCCCCTGAAGTTAGCTATGAGGTCAATAAGCTAAGATCAGTTTCCTTCGAGCACTCGTTTTGACGAACTATACATTTCCCATAATTTCAATTTATCATTCATTTTTTTTTTGATGATTCAATTTATCATTCATTAGTAAATGAATTATGTAGTACGGAGTATATCTTTAAAAAATATACTGTGTAAGAATTATATATATCTTTTTTACACATTTTTATATTTTTAATTTGACTTTATATACAAAAACATTCATTACTCCTCAAAAGAACTACTGAATATTTTTGAAGTGAATTCTAAAGAGGCGTTGATTAGTACACATAAAAATAAAGAGGCGTTTTCCTGAAGTCCTTTGTCATTTCTAGTTATTCCAAAAAAGGTTTAATCTCCCACTCCATGAGCCCCCATATCCAGACCCAACAGAATGGTAGAGGAGTAAGTCACGGTGACTTAGTCGGTCCAATGGTGGTAGACCTTATACTTGTAAGCACCAGAGGTCCCACCCAGCAAACATGAGCTGTAACCTCCACACGACCGACGCAGGTTTGGATTCTTGGTCATTGTTCCAAATTTCTTACCACAAAATCAATTGAGTTACCCGTGCGAATTGTAAAGATGCCCACATCTTCCTCAACATGAGTACTTATCCGACCCATGCATCTTTATTTTCTTAACTTTCTAGGTGCTTGTTTGGATTTAGTAAATGGAAAGACCGAAAGATCTATACTACTTTTCCATCCCAGAGAACTTCCTCTCGCTATCAAAACATAGTCTACCAACCACACACATAAACCTGATCTTGTAACGAATCATTTGGATTTACAAAATCTGTAAGGATCTT